CCCCATTTCTGATGAAGGGCCTAGGCCCGAAACGTCAGCCTTTTTGCTCCTATGATGCTGCTTGGCCTGCTGTGTTCATCCAGCTCTGCACCTTGTTGACTTTGGAAGGTGTTCAGTTGCTTCTCTGCTCAGTTGCTCACATCAGTTTGGAGTCAATTCACCCGCTCGCAGAGTCTCAGCTGACACAGCACAGCTCCAAGACAAACCAAGCTTTCGGCACCATTTATCAACATAGCTGCAACATCCTCCAGTACCAGCCCAAAGATCCTGACCTGATAGAACCTGAATGAAACCAACAAAAAAGAAAACTTGTATTTATCCAGGGCCTGTAACATAGTGAAATGTCCCGGGGAGCTTCAAACAATTGTAAGCAAATATAATTGGACACATTGGGAGATATTCTGAAGATGTGTTTCCATTTCGTTGCTTCCCCATCTTTCCCCGACACTGTCTCCCCCACAACTTTGCTGCTGCCTCGTTTCCCTGATCCACCCACTCACCTCAGTGATGAGGTTAATGTGAAGAATGTTGACACAAAGCTGTGTCTCTGACTCTGCTTCTCTCTCTCCACAGATGCTGCCAGATCTGCTGAGCTTCCCCTGCTCTTTCTGTTTTCTTTAAATTTCAGATTTCCAGCATCCGCAGGATTTTGCTTTTAGGGAAATATTGGCACAGGTGGTCAAAGAAGTGAGGAAAGAGAGACAGAAGGATTTAGGGAAGGAAATTCCAGAGTTTAAGACCCAGGCTGCTGATGGAATGATGGAAAGAGCAGATGTGCAAGCAGCCATAAAGGAACCAACTATCCGTCGTCTCCACCTTCTCCTACCCCAATCCCAACACCCAGAACGGAAACGTCCGCCAGGAGCAAGAATGGAATATTCCTCCCTTTGGGAAGATGACTGGATTCGGCCTTGTTTCAAGAACTCCTGTCAGCAACAGAAATTACAGAAGAGGAACCAGAAAAAGGAATGCCGACAATCTCAGGGCCAAGGTCCAATTCCACATCCCGGCATTTCCTGGCAATGTGTGGTCGGAGATGGGGCTCTACGATTGGTCTCATCAGCTTCACAAGGACTCACAGACACCCCGCTCCCCCCCCCCCCCCCCCCACCCCCAAGCAGTGGAATTTCTGAGGTGGACAATGAGAGTGATTATCTCTCACAGCTTCAGCAATGGCTCAGTCAGTAGTAGTTCTGAATCAGGACACCATGGGTTCAAATCCTGCTCCAGAGACAAGGGAACACAATCCAGGCTGACCCACTGGAACCAGGAGCCCTGCACTGTCAGAATTACCATCTTTCGGATCAGACCTTGTCTTGAGTCCCTCAGTGGGGAGGGGCCGGAGTGTGTAGGGGGAGATGAGGAAAGATTCCCCCTTCCTTACCTGGTCTGGCCTATGTCTGATTCCAAAGCCTCAGCAATGGGATTAACTCCTAACTACCCTCTAAAATGGCTACTCAGTTTAAGGGCTAATTATGGATGGGCAACAAATGCTTGCTTTACCAGCAACTCCACATTATAAGGTACCACAGCGGTGTTTTATTTCCAACTTATTCACAGGATGTGGGTGTCACTGGCCAGGCCAGCATTTATTACCCAGAGGGCAGTTAAGAGCCAACCACATTGCTGTGGGTCTGGAGTCACATGTAGGCCAGACCAGGTAAGAATGGCAGTTTCCTTCCCTAAAGGGCATTAGTGAAGCAGATGGGCCATTCCTGACAATCGACCACAGGTTCGTGATCATCATCAGACTCTTAATTCCATATTTCTTTCCTGAATTGAATCCAAATCGCACCATCTGCTATGGCAGGATTTTAACCCAGGTCCCCAGGTCGTTACTGGGGTCTCTGGATTAATAGTCTACTGATAATACCACTGGACCGTTACCTCCCCTTAATTTGGAAGAGAGCTGCCTTGATATTAAATACGCACTCTGATTTACAGAAAGATCATGCTGGTGTATTTGTGCCATTAGTTGAATTCTTGAGGGGATGGGCATCATCTTGGAAATCAACAACTTGGCCAATTGCTTGCAATTTTGAAAGGGATGGAACAGATAATGGAGCAGATCCTAACGACCAGGTTCCAGTTGATGACATCTGCTTCCCATTGACTGTGAACATCGATTGTTAGCACATCCTTCGATGGACTTCCAACTTGAAAGGCAACGTACTTAAATCAAAACATGAGGCCTGCTTTGGGATTTTAATGCCTGACAATGAATTTGGGTTAATTGCTGAAAAATAAGGCATTTCAATTCTGAGTGATTCGTATTAATTTTGTTAACCATTTCAACCATTTGAATCTGCAGGGAGTCCAAATCAAGTTTCTGTTCACTGGACATGTATTCCTTTATATTTTGGTGTCATTCTTGAGGAACTGTTTTCTCCAAGGTCAACATTTCTTTCCTGAGAGTTTCCAAATCGGAACTCAGTTCATCCACGTGGGGCTTGGCACAAGGCTGTACAATGTTACTTCATCACATTTAAATAAAGACTTCCTCATGTGTTACTTCTTTCACCTATGCCCTAGCTCATAGTGATTTGTGTACCCACCCAAAGATACCAACCCATTGCCCAAAGTCATAAGACTGTAAGACAGAGGGGCATAGATTTCTAAGAATTCTAACAGATTTGTCAGGGATGGCCTCCCCTTGATGAAACTGTTCTGACTCGGCCCTATTTTACCAGGCATTTCCAAGTACTCCGCAATCTCATCCCCAATAATCGATTCTAAAACCTTACCAATGGCCAAGGTGAGGCTAACCGGCCTGTAGTTTCCTGTCTTCTGCCTCCCTCCCTTCCTAAACCAGGGTGTTCCATCAGCCATTTTCCAGAGCTCTGGGACCCTCCCTTCCTAGTCAGAAGTCAAACAACACCAGGTTAGAGTCTAACAGGTTTATTTGGAATCACAAACTTCTAGCAGAGCTCCGAAAGCTTGTGATTTCAAATATACCTGTTGGACAATAACCTGGTGTTGTATGGCTTTTGACTTTGTCCATCCCAATCCAATTACAGCACCTCCACACCAGTGATTCCTAAAAGAACACCAGCAATGTCTCCACAATCTCCTCAGCTATCTTGTTCAGAACTCTGGGGTGTAGTCCATCCATTCAGGTGAATTATCCACCTTCAGACCTTTCAGCTTCCCTTGCACCTTCTCCTTAGCGATGGCCACGACATTCACCTCTGCCCCCTGACTCTCCCAAAGTTCTGGGTTGCTGCTGGTGTTTTCTGCCGTGAAGACTGATACGAACCAGCTAAACAGTTCCTCGGAGATAGCAAGGACTACAGATGCTGGAATCACAGACAAGACAGTGTGGGGCTGGAGGAACACAGCAGGTCAGGCAGTGTCAGGGGAACAGGAAAGCTGACGTTTCGGGTCGGGACCCTTCTTCAGAAATGGGGGAGGGGGAAGGGAGCTCAGAAATAAATAGAGAGGAGGGGTGGGGCTGGGGAAGGTAGGTGGGATGGTGATAGGGGAGTGCAGGTAGGCAGTGGTGGGGATTGGTCAGTGAGGTGGCAGGGGTGGATAGGTGGGGGAGAAGATGGGCAGGTTGTGTCAGGTCAAAGAGGTGGGAGGGAGGATGGGTGGGGCTGGGGAATGGTAGGGGCGATGGTGATAGGTTGGATGCAGATAGGGGGTAGTGGGGATTGGTCAGTGGGAAGGGTAGGGCAGTTCCTACACCTTTTCTTTGTTCCCTATTACTACTTCTCCAGCCTGATTTTCCAGCAGTGCGTTTGCTCCTGCCTCACCCCTAGTTTTACATTGCATTTACAGCATAGATGCAGGCCATTCACCCTAACTGATCTGTGCTAGTGTTTCTGTTCCACATACTCTCCCCCTTCCACTCTTCTTCATCCAACATCAGCATGTCCCTCCATTCCTTAGGGTCTAGGCCCGAAACGTCAGCCTTCCTGCTCCTCTGATGCTGCTTGGCCTGCTGTGTTCATCCAGCTCTCCACCTTGTTATCTCATATGTTTATTTAGTTTCCTGTTAACTATATCCACACTGTGGGACCAAGTTTCACATTCTCACCACTCTCTGGGTAAAGCCGTTTCTTCTGAATTTCCTGTTGGGTTTATTCGTGACCTTCCTGGATTTATGGTCTCCCCCGCATTAGAGAACATCTCCTGTCTATTTACTCTACTGAACCCCATCATAAACCTAACAAATCCTATAAGGCCCATCCTTCAGGTTATCTTTCTCAGATCATAGAGTCCCTAGAGTGTGGAAGCAGGCCATTTGGCCCATCGAATCTGCACTAACCCTGAAAAGAGCATTCCACCCAGATCCAAACCTCATCCTATCCCTCTAACCTCGCATTTACATTGCATTTACAGCATAGACACAGGCCATTCACCCTAACCTGCACATCTTTGTACTGTGGGAGGAAACCGATGCAGACACGGGGAGAATGTGCAAACTGTACACAGACAATTGCCTGAGGGTAAAATTCAAGCCTGGGTCCTGTGAGGCAGCAGTGCTAAACACTGGGCCACCATGCCACCCTCTTAAGAATAGAGACCCAGCTGTTCACTCTTTCCTGAATACCATAACCTCTCAATTCTGGGATTATCCTTCTCAATCCTTATTGCATCTTCTCCAGTGCCTCTAATTTTTTTGTGCTGTAAAATGGAGACCGGAAATGATTATCGTTCTCTGAGTGTGATCTATAACTTTGCTGCGTTTTAATTCCAGCCCTTCTGAAATGAATTCCGGTTTTATTGTTTTTCTTTTAATTATGGCCTCACACATTTCGCGATCAAAGGATATTGGCTGCCGCTGATTGCTCACAAAGGTGGAGGGCACATTACTATGGCAAGCTAGCCAGTATGCTGAATAAAACTGCACTTTCCAAAAATGTCCCTTTTCATGAAATAAATTTGTCTAAGTTAGCATTTAAGTTCTGCAAGCTATCCAACAGACATGATTAAACAGGAAATGATTATTTGTTAACAAAGTAGAATATTCACTTTAATCAGTTCGACTTTCATCAGTCTCTGAGCATGAATTGCATACACAGGCTTTCAATGGCGCAGACTTCCTAATGGTACATGTGCACACTGTTTGTATCTGCTCATTCCTAGGGTAGCAGTGTTCCTGCTCTGCAGGGTGTTCCTGTGGCAAGTGTTGTTGATTCACTTCCGTTGCTAGGGAATGGTGGACCTCTGTCACTGATGGTTGTTCTGTACTTTGCAGGCGGTAAGATCATGTCCTCCTGATCAGCTGCCTGTATTTTCTCTCGATGTGCACAGACATCTGTTTCTGTAACATTATATCTGATCAGTCACATATGATTGAGGTGACGAGTGTCCATGGCAAGTCCCTAGTTGCAAGGTGAGTTGACTCACATTAAGAGCCATTGAATGTTTGCACTCTGACACCTCATTCCTTAAGGACACTCTATTTCTTTTGTACAGAATGCCATCTCTGGCTATCTTGTCATGTCTGTTTGCCCCACACTCTCTTATAACAACAGTTATGCCCTTGATACTTTCAGGCCATCATTTCATCAGTGCTTCCTGCAGTTTTATTAAAGTGAAATTTGGTTTGATGCTGTTTCATTTTGGTTTTGTAACACCCATCTGTTGCTACTTCTGACTTCATTTTTTTTTGCTGTTGGAAGAGTAGTTTGGGGGTGACGTGACACTAATCTTCAGACTGGACTACTTTCCACGTTCTCTACTGAAAGATTTCCTCGTACAATGTGGGTCTGGATATGTTCAATTTCTTTGATGACGATTTTCCCTGTCACTTTAGCCTTTCCATTTGACTGAGGATAGAGTGAAGACGAAGTGATGATCAGATAGAGTATGGTTTGGAATTTCACAACCCTTAATGAAGAGCTCAATTTCTTTACCATGTTCATTGAGGGTCATTGTTGCCCATTGCATTGCAGCAATAGCTGAAGTGTGCTTTCAGGAATTCTACAAACCCATTGGGAGTAATTCCCGTCATCTGTTACAAGTGCCAGTGGTCAGAGTAGTAATCGAGGGTGACATGGTACCCTGTGAGAGTGAAGAGATCGACTTCCAAGCTCTGTCCAGGATGTCATGCAGCTTAAACACCCACTAACGTGCAGAGCTCAGTATCCATTACAAACATTGCACTGGCTGATGTGGTAAAGAATCTCATTGCTCATTTTTACTAATGAAGCACTTTCTCTCGTCTTCCTCAGATTAAACTCATTTCTTGATGGACAGGCTTCATCATTTGGCAGCATCTGTGAAGGAAAAAAACGGAGTTAACATTTCAGGTCCGGTGACTAGTTCTGAGGAAGGGTGCCAGACCTGCTGAGATTTTCCAGCAACTTTGTTTTTGTTCCTGATTTACAGCATCCGCAGTTCTTTTGGTTTTTATTTAGGCTTCATCATTTCTTTTCCTGCCTCTTTCCTTATGGAGGCTCTATTTTGTTTGGACAGAATGCCATTTCTGGCTATCTTGTCATGTCTGTTTGCCCCACACTCTCTTATAACAACAGCTGTGTCCTTGATACTTTCAGACCATCATTTCATCATTGCTTCCTGTAGTTCTTACAGCATTGCATCCTGCTGCTGAGTTTCCTTGATTAGAGCAACATTTTTGTCTTCCAGATTCAACATTTCTCTGGGCTGATAACTTCCAGACCATGTCAAAACTGTTGCTTCCCATGGAATCTGGAACGTGTCAGACTCTGTCTTAGCCTCCTGTACTTCCTTTATAAGGAGAGGCTACACTCGACATCATGTTGGCAATATATATCTGCTTCCCTTGATCGTATTTCACATCCAGATGAAATCTCTGCAAATACAGGAACATTCTTTGTAGATGTTTTGGAGCAGATACAACTGGTTTGAGGAAAGTGCTTTCAAGTGGCTTGTGGTTGGATTCCACTGTCATGTTAATTCACCCAAAAGGTATGGACATGTTTTCCTTTCTTACAAGCAATGTCCTCCAGTATATAAGATCCTGCCCTCTGGACTCGATTTTCTGCTGACATTTTTGGAAATGTTTCTTTTTTTTTTCCAATATGTTGTTTTTGGTGGGTATGGGTAGTCTCTTAGCATAATGTTAAAGCTATGTCCATTCTCAATACACTGTGACTATTACTGTTAACCTCAGAGCTTCTGCATGTTAACTTTCTTGAGAAAAAGGTTTCTCCTCTCTCAGCAGATGCGCTCTCACAGCAGGATCCTTTACACCAGGACAATTCTATCTCCGATGACATCATCATTCAGTTCTCAAAACTCACAAGATTTACCTAAATGTATCGGTGCGGCCACGTACTGATCAATAACCACCTCTTCAACTCTGATTGTTGAATATTGTTCATATGTGACATGAAGATGGGGTTCAAAGTGTATCTTCAAAATTGTCAAAATCTCTCCTGTGCTGCTTTTCTGTTCCTCAGCAAGATCTAATACCTCTGCTTCTTTCCCCAGGTTGGATACATCAATTGCAAATCTTATAGTTTGGGGAGTGTCTGTATTTACAGGGGGTCCCTGGGGAGTGTCTGTATATACAGGAGGTCCCTGGGGAGTTTCTGTATTTACAGGGGGTTCCTGGGGAGTGTCTGTATTTACAGGGGGTTCCT